GCTTTGCCGGCCCGATCCGATCGGGGTGGGCATTTTCGCATGCGCAGTGCGTGGTGCGGCTCATCTCGATCGCCTCAACACCTCTCCTTCTGTTACCGCTTTGCAGTATCTCATGGTCGCAGCGCGCGCCGTCGGGCATGCTGTTGTAACGTGGGCGCCATGTGGCCATGTCCTGGGCGCCGCCGCCATCTCGATCAGGATCCCCGCTGCCGCGCCCTCCAAGATCCCCGAATGGATTGCCCGGCGCGAGTTGCGCCGTGAGCCTTGCTGCCGTGCGATCCAGGACGTCGATCGGAGATTCTTCCCCGGGGGTCAACTTGATCGGGTCGTGGGGCCCTCTATCAGATGGCCTTCACTTTCAAGTTTCGTTTGCGTCTTCGCCCCCCGAAGTCCCGCTTCGAGAGGTTGCGCTTTGCTCTGATGGCGCATGGGGGATGACGCACTGGGGCCTCCTCGCCGCGCGTCGATGCCATGAGGGCCCGCCCCCGGTTGCATCGGCATTTTGAACCTGAATGGGAACGTTGCTCGGGTTTGGCTAAAACCCGGGGGCGCTGCGTCTGGCGCCGAAGGACTCTTGGCGCGAATGGGGGGGGGGGGGGGGCGAGGCCTGGATGGGCTGGGGGGGGCAGGGCGAAAAGCACGAGGGCGGCGCGTGTCCAACATTTGCTGAGAGCATGGGCCAAGATGCGTAGGCGGCATGGGTCGCCATGTCTGCCCGCCCCCCGGCGCGTCGGCTGCTGTTTTCGGAGCATATTGGGGGGCGAGTCTTCGCGCGTCAGGAACCCGCTCGTTCTGTCTGGCCCGAGATCTCGGAGCGTTTACCGACCCCTTTAGTTGGATGATGTTTCTTGGCGATTGGGCGTCGGTCCTTTTGCGGCAGTTTGCCGCGGACGCCGCTCTGTTCCTGGGGGGGGGATTCCCCGCGGACGTTGGGAGGCGGGGGGAGGGGGCTGGGGCAGCTGACATGATGTTTGACGCGTGCGCTGGGATGCATTCTGCTGCTGGGGAAATGGTTCCTGCGAGCGTCGGGGGGGCCGCGTGCGTTTCCTTCCGGAAGACTTGGGGGCGACGAGAACCCCGCGGAGTTGATTCGCGCCCTTGGTGCGACTCGACCGCTGACTCTGGGGAACGCTGATTCGGGAATTCTGAGCGGTGTTTTTTTCGATTGGATTGCAGAGGATCTCGCGGGGTACGATCGACCCGATCCAGCGAGGGGGCGTCCTTGGGAAGGGTGTTGCTGGGCGCCGTTATCGAGGTTGAATGTTTGGGACTCCGCCGGATGTTCACTGGTGGGGGCCGCTCAGGATTCTCGTCGCTGGCTTCATGGCTGCTTCCCCCATCGTCGATCATTGCGCGGCTCCTGGGAGCTCTCTCGGCGATGCGCGTGCTGGATGATGTCCGTAGTTCTTATGCGGGACAACGTTGCAGCAATTAGCTGCTCTGGCGCATCGCCAGTGGAGTTCGTGGTTGCGAGAGGGGTTCGACAGGGGGGGGGGGCGTGCTTCTTCGTTGCTTTTTGCGCGTGCTCTGGGTCCTGCTCTGAGATGAACGAGAGCGAAGCTAGCGGGGCATGTCCCGCAGGTGCGAGCCTATGACGACGAACTCTGCTTCTGTCGCTCCAACGTCTTCTGGTCTCCCGGAGCAGTTCGCCGATCACTTGCGGCGGAAGGACTTATTTTATCCAGGTCGCTGGTTTTGTTCATGCGGCCCTGTGCCTTGGGTTCTGGCTTGGGCCTGGTGCGTTATCGAAGGTCCGGAGTAGCGCGACCCCGATGTTTCGGATGATTATTCGGAGGCCCCGCGGGCTGGGGCTTGGGGCCCTGCATGCGATCCGACTCTTTCATTCGCGCTGAATGTCGATCTTAGCATGCCAGTCGCAGTTGTGCCCAGTGAAGAAGCAGTTGCGGGAAGCTTCGATTGAAGCATTGCGCGTGATCGCGGCCCGTCCTCGACACGGCTTCTGTAGAGAAATGCTGACTGGACTGCGTGCGCGTGGAGCGTCCTTGGAAGTCTTGGATATTGGTTGATTCTCGACGGCCAGTAAGTTTCGTGCCCCGCTGTCGCGTTCGAATCTGTATGCTATTCAGGGTGATATTGAGGCTCTAACGGTTTATTCGGAAGACGATGAGTGGTGGAGACAGTCCTGGACGAGGGCGACGGTGGGCGAAGCGGGTAATTTCTCGGTTCCCACCTTCACACCCACCCCCAGGACGCAGCTTCAGAGGAAAGTCCTGAAGTGTTTGAGCGGCCCTCCGCGACACCCTTCGTACCCTGGCCCAGAGAGTTTCCGAGCGGGTTGGGCGCGACCGTTTTGCGGTCGCTGTTTTCGGGGCGCTGGTCAGGAGGATGCAGTAAGTATAGAAAAACAGCTCGATGCACCTTCTGACGGGTTTCCTCGAGGCACTGTGTCGGGGGGTGCGCGGGTCGAGCCTTCTTTTCTCCGCTCTGCTAGGTTGTGCCTTTGGGTGCGTGGAGGCATCGACTGATGACGACCTTCGGCATTGTCGTGCGTGCCCGAACCTCAGAAGTTGCCTTGTCGACATTTCTCCCCGCGGTGATCTTCTGGCCTCGTGGGCTGATCAGGTAGATGGCGACGACTGGCTGTTGGCGCTCTTTTGTATGGGGCCCCATTGGGGGAGGTCACCTGACCTGGTGGGGTGTGCTCTTATGCGTGCTGCCCAGAATGCGGGCCCGGAGGCCCCTGGGGGCCCCTTCGTCAAGGCGCCGTTGAGACAACTCTCTCGCCGTCGCCCCTGAACTGCTGGAAGCGCTTCGGTCGCTCCGCGTGGCTTCCGCGGATCGGGCCCCCCCCCCTCTTTCTCCGCCTTGCCCCCTGCCCCCCATGGGTGGGCAGTGAAGTGAGAGCCGATCCCCCTCTTGTCGTTTTCCGTTTTCCTGCGGCGCCCTTAGTTTTCCCTTCCCCCGAGGTCCCTGCTCCTTCCTGACATTGACAGTTTGATCCACCTGGTTGACTGTTTTCATGTGTGGTTCTCGATGCCGATATTTCGTGGGTGTTTTGATTGGGCATCTGTTTTGGCTAATGTGGGGTCTGACACGGTCTCTCTCTCTCTCTCTCTCTCTCCCTCTCTCTTCTTCGGGTGAGTGTCTAGTGGGCGCTGGCCCTTGTCCGCCTTTGCATGCTTTCCTTGCCTCCTCCTTGTGTTTTTGCTTGGTTTCTTCCGTCCACCGCGAGGCCCAGGGTCGAGCGGGGTGGGTGGGCCTGCTGCCTCTCTCGCCTGTCTTGCCGCGGGCCGCCCCGCCGCCCCGCTGCCGCGCCCCCGACCCCTTTCCGAGTGGAATTTGCAGCTCGGTTCCGGCCCCGTCGGTTTGTCGGCGGTCGGTCGCTCGGCGCAGGGAGCAGAGCGCTGCTTGTGGCTGGCTGGCTTCCCCGGACAGCTAGTATTCAGCACGCGTGCTTGCAGGCGGCATGCGGTGCCCGGGGCGCTCTGCTCCCGAGGGTTCTGCGCCCGCCCGCCCGCGCCAGGCCCCCGACGAAGGTCGAGGCTTCCGCGGCGCCCTGGTGCTGTCGCCCGCTCTTGGTCAGCTTCCCCGCGACAAGTTCCCGACGTGGTTCGAGGCTCCTGCGTCGCTGGGTCCTCTCCCCTATTGTGTCTTTGTTTTTTGTGGGGCATGCCTCCGCGTGTGTTTTTGCTCTGCTGCCGTGGTGGGTTGGGCCCATCGCTCGGGGGGGGGGGGGCCGATGGTGGACCGGGCTCACGCAGGAGTGGCGATCCGCTCGGATCGCGGTGGTCCGATTTTGATGGGAGCACGCGCCCCCAGAGACAACGGATGCCGAGTACCCGCCAGTGCTTTTGATGATCTTGCTTCTCTTTGTTGCTTCCCTCCTCCTCTCTGCGTGTATGTTTGGCCCGCTGACGTGGACTTGGATGTTGAGTGAGTGAGTGAGTGAATGTGCGCGCGGCTGTAAACAAAAGAACTCCTTCTCATCTTCCGACGTGTTTTTTGTTCGACCGTCGCTTTTTCCTTAGATTTCTTCCTCGGGGGCCATGTTTCGTGCCCGTGGGCCCTCGAGAGCGGAGCTGGGGCGAAACTGTTACCCCCGAGGGAGCAGGCGTGACCCCCCCTCTTGGGGCAGCGGCTGGAGAACCGCAGACCTTCGGATGTCAGGGGCGAGGATCGGCCTAAACGCTGTCTTGACGATCTCGTGGGCCGTTTTCGTTTCGAGTTCGTTTTGCAGCAAAGGCTGATTGAAGATGGCGCGAGGGGAGGCGAACCAAAGCGAAACGAACAAAAAACAGTTTAGGCCGATCCCTGGTGAGGGGCCCGTTTTTGGTTCGCGGCCTGGGCCCTCCAGACTTGCAAGAGGCCGACCCAGCTGTGCACGCAAGAGTGGCCCCTTGACTGGAGTGGCTTCTGGCGCGCGGCATTCTGGGCGCGGGGTCATGGGCGGGGCCCGGGCGAGAATCGAGCGTTCCGGAACGCTCTGAGAAGGCCGCGGCGCCCGATGCATCCTCCAGAGCCGCCGCATCCCGGAGATTCCCGGTTTTGTCCCCGTCCTGGCTTCTTCCAGGGGGGGGGGGGGGCTGGCCCGGGCACGCAGCTCGCTGCTGCCGCATCGCACGCAGCGGTTGGCGAGTCGCGCGCCAGATGGCGCCTATTGTGCAGGGCCGCCTTCCCGTGGACAGCATGCGCGTCAGACCACAAGCTGGCCTGTCAGCCAGGTGTCTCGCACGGGGAATGTTCATCCCCCACAGGTCTTGGACACTTACAGAACTCCTGGTACGCCTTGGGGTAATGGGAGGTCGACGAGCAAACTATCATTCTCAGGGCAAGATTTCACGTCGTATCCGAAACCCAGGGAAGACCCTGGTGCACTACAATGGCCAGAGCGGCTGCCCCTCCCCAGGGACGTCGGCGCGAAAACGCGGATGCGCGAAGACTACCGCGCGTCGCGCATGACGGGGCGCAGTGCGCGACCTGTTGGGTGGCCTGGAAGACTGCTGTGGCCGGAAGGGCCGCGACGTTGGAGGTCTGGGCAGGGCCTGCGGCTGAGGCGTAGCGCAGAGAGGACGCGGAGGGCGCGCCAACCACGCCACTGCACAGCTTCCTTGCCAGGCCGACCCTTTCGGGCTCGGGATCGGTGCGTATGCCTTGCTGGACGAGCCATGAGGGCGCGTACTGTACTGCAGGCTCGCGTCGTTGGCACGATGCTTGCGCGGCGCTGTGCGCACCCTGACGCAGCCGATCCGATGCGATGTGGACCCCGTGCCGATTCAGCCCGATCCGACGTATATTTTGATACGGTCCGATTTCCTGATTCGATGCCGATGGATCTTGCCCCAGCGCAGGCTTTCAAGGTTGATTGCCGCCAGACGCAGCCAGTGGCATAGAATCGGCCGACATCAAAAGATCTCGCCTGTCGAGAAGCTCGGCCACGTGTAGAGGGGGGGGGGGTAGGGAGAGGGGGAAGGCTTCCTAGAAACCCCACTGGTTCTTAAGAGGGCGCGGGCTCTGCCTATTAGATGTACGGCTCGCGCCTTCCAAGAGGCAGTCTCATTCGACAAAGCCTTCCCCTCTCCCCCCTAGCCCCCCCTCTGCGCGCCGCCAGGAAGCAGGGATCGGTCAAGGCTGACTCATCCGCGCAGTGTCAGGAGCACCCAACGCCGACGCCGTCGCGGTACGAGCACGCCGCACGCGCCGACCCTGGGCCCAGGATGTGCCTGGCCAGGATCTGTGCCTTGTCGACGGCCCTGATGTCGCCGACGTGCATATGTTATGGAGGAGGAGGACGACGAGGAGGAGGAGGAGGAACAGGATGAGCAGGAGAAGGAGGAGGAGGAGGAAGGAGGAGGAAGAGGAGGAGGAAGAGGATGAACAGGAGGAGAGGAGGGAGGAGAGCAGGAGGAGGAGGAGGAGCAGGATGAGGAGAAGGAGGAGCAGGAGAAGGAAGCGGAGGAGGCGGAGGCGGAGGAGCAGGAGGATGAGGAGAAGGAGGAGGAGGGATGAGGAGGAGAAGGGGGAGGAGGAGGAGGAGGAGGAGAAGGAGCAACAGGATGAGGATGAGGATGAGGATGAGGATCAGGATGATGATGCTGCTGATGATGATACTGATGGTACTGATGCTGATGCTGCTGATGCTGATGCTGATGATGCTGATGATGCTGATGATGCTGATGATGATGATGATGCTGATGCTGCTGCTGCTGATGCTGCTGCTGCTGATAGTGATGATACTGACGATGCTGCTGATGATGCTGCTAATGATGGTCTTTGCATGCTGATGCTGATGATGCTGATACTGATGCTGATGATGATGCTGATGCTGATGATGCTGATGATGCTGATGATGATGCTGATGGTGATGCTGATGGTGCTGCTAATGATGCTGATGATGCAGATGATGATGCTGATGATGATGCTGATGATGATGATGCTGATGCTGATGCTGATGATGATTATGATGGTGCTGATGATGATGACGATGATGATTGAGCTGAAGAAGATGATGACAGTGATGGTGTTGATGACGATGATGATGATGATGATGATGATGATGATGATGATGCTGCTGCTGATGATGATGATGATGATGCTGATGCTGCTGATGCTGACGATGATGATGATGATGATGATGATGATGATGATGCTAATGATGATGCTGGCGATGATGATGATGATGATGATGATGATGATTCTATTATGATGCTGATGATGCTGCTGGTGATGATGCTGATGATGCTGATGATCATCGTTATACTGATGCTGATGCTGATGCTTATGCTGCTGCTGATGATGATGCGGCTGATGATGCTGATGATGATGATGATGATGATGCTGATGATGATGATGATGATGCTGATGATGATGATGATGATGATGATGATGATGATGATGATGGTGACCAGGTTGCTGATGAACCTGATGATGACGATGATGCTGATGATGATGACGCTGATGCTGATGCTGATGCTGATGATGACGACGACGATGGTGATGATGATGGTGCTGTTGATGATGCTGGCGATTATGATGATGATGTTGTTGATAATGTTGTTAATGATGATGCTGCTGCGGATGCTCGGATTAAGATGCTGATGCTGATGATGATTATGCTGCTGATGATTATGCGGATGATGATGCTGGTGGTGATGATGATCTTGATGCTGATGATGATGATGCGGATGAGGCCGACGATGATGTTGATGTTGATGACGCTGATGATTATGATAATGACGTGGATGCTGATGATGATATGACGGGTGCTGGTGAGGATGCTGATGTTGATGCTGATGATGATGAGGATGATGATGATGCGGATGAGGATGCCGATGAGGATGATGAGGCTGATGATGCTGATGGTGATGGTTATGTTGATGATGATACTGTTGATGATGATGCTGATGCTGAGGCGGGTACTGATGCTGATGATGCTGCTGCTGATGGTGATGCTGATGATGAGGACGATGGCGACGATGACGACGAACATGATGCTGTTGCTGATGATGATGATGGTGATTGTGATGATGCTGCTGATGCTGATGATGATGCTGATGTTTTTTGTTATGAGAATGAGCAAGGGGAGGGAGGTGCTGATGGTAATGCTGATGGTGCTGCTAATGGTGATGCTGCTGATGATGATGATGATGATGGTGCTGCTGATGATGATGCTGATACTGAGTTTGATGATGACGATGATGGCGAATCTGAAAAAGTTGATGACGATGATGGTAATGACGATGACGATGATGGTGAGGAGGATGGTGATACTGATGCTGATGATGATAGTGATGATGATGAGGATGACGATGATGCTGGTACTGATGCTGCTGCTGCTGATGATGATGATGATGATGATGGTACTGCTGATGCTGATGCTGATGATGATGCTGATGCTGCTGCTGATGATGATGATGCTGATGATGGTGATGATGATGATGATGCTGATGATGATGATGCTGCTGCTGCTGATGATGATGCTGATGCTGCTGCTGATGATGATGGTGATACTGATGATGCTGATGCTGATGCTGTTGATGATGATGATGACGACGACGATGATGATGATGATGATGCTGCTGATGATGATGCTGATGCTGCTGTTGATGATGATGGTGATAATGATGATGCTGATGCTGATGCTGATGATGATGATGATGACGACGACGACGACGATGATGATGATGATGCTGATGATGATGACGATGATGATGATGATGATGATGATGATGATGATGATGATGATGATGAGGATGATGATGATGATGATGATGCTGATGATGATGATGATGATGATGATGATGATGATGATGATGATGATGATGATGATGCTGGTGGTGGTGGTGGTGTTGTGTGTGTTGGTGGTGGTGGTGGTGCGGAGGAGGATGGGGGAAGAGGATGAGGAGCAGGAGGCGGAGGAGGAGGAGGACGAGCAACGCCAGGAGGGGGAGGATGAGGAGGAGGAGGATGAGGTAGATGTGGGAGGGCGGAGGGGGAGTAGGAGGAAGGGGAGGAGGAGAGGAGGAGGGTGAGAGACGAGAGAGAGGAGGAGGAGGAGAGGAGGAAGGAAGGAGGAGGAAGAGGAGGGAGGAGGAGGAAGCGGAGGTGGAGGAGGTGGAGGGCTGACGAGGAGGTGAGGAGGAAGAGGAGAGGAGGAGGAGGCGGAGCGAAGGAGGAGGAGGGAGGAGGCGGAGGGAGGAGGATGACGAGGAGGAGGAGGAGGAGGGAGGAAGAGGATGCGGAGGAGGATGAGGAGGAGGCGGAGGATGTTGGGGGCGGGGGGGGGGGAGGAGGCGGAGGAGGAGAAGGATGATGATGATGATGATGAGGAGGAGGAGGAGGAGGAGGAGGAGGAAGAAGACGGTAACGAATAACAATACTAGGACTAATCATATGATCGTAGACTGATCACTAATACTCGTATCAATAATCGTAATGTTCACCATGCTCATCTTACTACTGAGAGAGTAATAAGGTAATACTAGCGACAGTCCTAATAAGACTTATATCACGAATCATGATACGACTCAGAGAAATGGTTTTGACACGACGAAGACGTATAAAGTATATTATGCATAAGAATAAGAAGGCGCATACTACTACGACGAAAAATGATACGACTACTAAGGCTAATACCGCTATTTTCAATGCTAAGGAACATACCTAGACGATTTTTACTACTGAACTAGGAGAATGTATTGCATGTTACGCCATAAGAATAGTAACATTACTAGTAATAAGAGTAGTGGTAATAACACGACTGAGATTATTATTCCTTACCTAGGCTCTGGCTAGAAGGGTTCTTACTCTATGTGCTTAAAGGGCCGGGCAGTGGGGCTCGCCCCGGGCGGTTCCCCCGGCGTCCGCCCCGCGGTTCCTCCAGTTACGTCCCCTTAGCTTAGCGTTGCTTATCTCATCTTAGCTTAGCTTATTCATCTTAGTTTAGCTTAGCTTCATCTTAGCTCAGGTTCATCGTAACTTAGCTTACCTTCATCTTAGCTTCGCTGAGCTTTAGCATAGCAGAACACAGCATAGCATAGCATAGCGTAACATAACACAGCCCAGCACACCATATCATAGCATCGCCCAGCATAGCATAACATGGCGCAGCATAGCATAGCATAGCATAGCATAACATAGCATAGCGTAGCACAGCACAGCAAAGCATGAGCACAGCGCAGCATAGCATAGCATAGCATAGCATAGCATAGCATGGCATAGCATAGCATAGCATAGCAACTAATGCTGCTTTCCTAGGGGCTCCAACTTCTAGGTAGGGTCGCACTGGGGTAATTCGTATTCTGCTAAATTATACTACTACGTGCAGTAGTATGAAAAGTTTAACACTGTTACCGATACCATTAATGCTGATACTACTGTTATGTGTAATACCGAGGATGGTAGTACTAGTAGTGATAATTTTAGTAGGAAGAATATTAATAACCATACGAGAAGTAATACTCATACTGTGAGGAGGTGGAGGGGGAAGAGGAGGAGGAGGAGGAGGAGGAGGAGGCGGAGGAGGAGGAGGAGGTGGAGGTGGAGGTGGAGGTAGTGGAGGAGGAGGAGGAATAATACCAATAATGAGAATTCTAATTGTAGCATTAGTAGGAATATTAGTAGTAAGCATAATAATGTGAATGATGCTAATGAAAATACCAGCGATGATGATAATAGTACTATTAAGAAGAAAACAGTAGTAATACGTTGTACAATAATAGTAAGAATGACAGTGATACGATCAATGACAAGAGTGTTACTAATGATAATATCAGAATAATAGTATGACGAAGAAGCGAAATACTAAATAGTAAGCTTAATGATAAACATAATCGCAACAGTAAGAATAACAGTAATACTGATACGGATAAGGATAATAATAATAAGAGAAGGAGAAGAAGGAGGAGGAGGAGTATGGCGGAGGAGGAGGAGGTGGAGGAGGAGGAATAGTAGTAGGAATACTGAAATTAGTAGGAATAACAAGACTGTAAGACTAAGAGTGTGACTTATAATAAGAAAAGAATGATGATAGTAGTGATACTAGGAAGAAGAAGCTAAGAGTCATATTGCATAATATGTTGCTTAATGATAATAATCATGATAGAAAAATAATTATACAGATGCGATCAATAAAGCTTTTAATGCAAATAATAAGAGTCATAATCACAATCGTCGGAATAATCGTAAGAGGAAGCATCTGATCAATAATAGTAAGAAGAATGATGTGAATAATAACAATGACAGTAATACTAGTAACCGTAATCATAGTATGAATAATAATGATAGTAATACTAATACTAACAATAATAATAAACATAGTAATAATACGAATAATAATAATAGTCATACTAATACTACTAATAATTATAACATTACTAATAATCGTAATAGTAGTAATAATGCTATAAAGTATAATACTACTAATACTAATCATACTAATACTACTAATAATAATATTATTATTAATGATAAGGAAGAGGAGGAAGAGGAAGAGGAGGAGGAGGAGAAGGAGGAGAAGGAAGAGGATGGCGGAGGAGGAGGAGGAGGTTTAGGAGGACGAGGACGCGGACAGGGCCAGCGTCCTCCATGAGGATCGGGGCGCTCGCCGCGCAGGCTGGGGCGCGGTGCGTAGGAGGCGACGAGCCTCGGGCCCGCTGGGGCCCAGCTGCGCTCTGCTGCCGGCGCCGGGCGCCAGCGCCGGAGCCGCAGCGCGACCCCATCAAACGGGACCTCCTCGGCTTCCAGACCACGCAGGACTCCGAGCGCTGGTCATTCCGAGGGCCAAGATTTAGCCCAGACCTGTTCGCGTCGACCTCTGGGGGCCCTCGGCAAGCCCCGGGGCCGTCAGAAACGGATTCGGAAAGCCCCAGGGCCGTCGGAAAGACTCGGGATTTCCGGGGACCGCGTATTTTCAAAAACAAGACATCGCATGTCTGGGAAGCCCAGGGCACCCGCGCGGGGCGCGACGGTGATCGCGCTGTGCGCGCCGCGGCCTGGACTGGACAGCTGCCCTTCTCCACGGCGGCATCGCGAGGGTGTGGAGATGGCCGCTTGTCGCGTATCGCAGGGCGCGACGCGCGGAGCTGGGTGATTTCGAAAACGACAAGGGCAAACAATTTGGGAGGTCCGCGCGGACCTGTTGGGCCAGCGCTGCACCCCCCTCCCCACACCCTTTCCGCGGCGAGCGGAGCCGGCCGAGGACGGCGCCGGATGCGCCGCCAAGGGGCGTCAGGGGAGGGGGTCCAGCGCCGAGGCAGGGAACCCGCGCGGACCTCAGGAAGCCTACGCGTACGCTGTTTTTCACTGCTGACTGCAAGGTCGTCACGCAAGGGCGAGACCGTGGCCCTGGCCACTCCCCCAGTCATGCTCACGGTGCAGCTGCCGGACGACTACGAGCCCGGCATGCCGGTGTCCATGGAGGGCCCGCACGGGCGCATTGAGGTGCCGGGGCCGTCCGACCCCGACGCGAAGCCCGGCTCCGTCCTCCATTTCAGCCTTGCTCCCTCGCCCGACTTCCAGGTCGAGGTGCCGGAGGGCGCGGGCATCGGCGCGGAGGTACGGCTGAGGCGGCCCGACGGGGTGGAGATCTCGGTGCCCGTGCCGAAGGGCCTGAGACCGGGGGATACGTTCAACATCTCCCCGCCTGCGCTGATGGTGCGGGTTCCAGAGGGCTGCGCGCCAGGCCAGCGCGTGGTGTTCAAGGAGCCAGGTGCTGGCGAGTCCGAGTGGTGCCGCGTCGTCGTGCCTGAGGGCGTTGTCCCGGGCGGCTATTTCGCGGCCCGCCTGCCACCGCCCAGCGAGCCGAAGTCGAAGCCCAGGGCCGGGCCCGCCTACTCCAGCCGCGCCAAGGGCGCCTGAGGCGCGGCTCGAGCGCGGCTGTGCCCCTAATTAAGAGGCAAGAGGGCGCGCCATGCTGCTTTTGATACGAGCGCGCCTGATGTGCACGGCACCCGTCGATATCCAGGTCGCTGCACGGACAGGCGGTGCAGCTGCGGCAATTTCCTCGCCCTTGGCCTTCGCCCCCAACCGTGCAGCCTGTCATCGGCCAGAGCTCTTGCAGGAATGTCGCCATGCGACTTGCGTGGATAGACTCTCGGCCACACCGGCGGGCGCGGCGGCCAGCGGCGTGGCGGCAGCTCCAGAAGCCTGTGAGCCGAGAGTGCAATTCGAATAGCGCGGTGCTGGGGCGCGTACGCTGCCTGTCGGCCACGGGCACGTGGCCGGCGGGTCAGCGCGCGCAGCAGCTCGGCACGCGTGCTCGGCATGCTCGCGAGTCGGCCCGAGCAGGGCCGCATTTGTGAGCGCGCCCCCGGTCAACGATGCTGCTACAGGCGAACAAAAGCCGTGCTCGTCCCTGGCTGCTGCACCGAAGGGTTTTGCCTCAGCGGGTTCCTGCGGGATCCTCTCCCTGCAGGAGGAGAACCAGGATGATGATGATGATGATGATGATGATGATGATGATGATGATGATGATGATGATGATGATGATGATGATGATGATGATGATGATGATGATGATGATGATGAGGCGGAGGAGGACATGGGGAAGGAGGAGGAGGTCGAGGAGGAGGGAGAGGAGGAGGAGTGGAAAGAAAAGGAGGGTGAGTACGAGCGGAAGGATGCGGGCACGAGTAAGGATGACGGTGACGATCACGATGACCATGACGATGGCGACGACGATGACGACGATGACGACGACGACAACGACCACGACGTCGACGACGACGATGCTGTTGATGATGGTTATGCTCATGATAAACATGATGATGATGATGCTGACGATGATGATGATGACGTTGATGGTGCTGATGCTGATGATGTGATGGTGGTGATGATGCCGATGCTGATGATGATGAGGAAGAGGAGGCAGATGATTCTGATGATGATGCTGATGTTGACGAATCTGATGATGCTGATCATGATTCTGCTGCTGATGCTGCTGATGCTGCTGATGATGATTATGACGGGCAAGGATGCGGACGAGGATGATAATGATGATGATGGTGAGGGTGAGGGTGAGGGTGGAGGTGCTGGAGGTGGTGATGATGGTGATGATGATGATGATGACCATGATGGCGATGATGATGATGCTGCTGATGATTATGATGCCGATGATGATGATGATGATGCTGATGATGATGGTGATGCTGATGTTTCTGATGATGATTATGATGCCGATGATGATGCTGATGCTGATGATGATACCGATGACGTCGATGATGATGATGCTGATAATCGTGGTGATGCTGCTGATGATGATGGTGATGATGATGATGAGGGTGAGGAGGATGATGAGGATGCTGATGCTGATTATGATTATGATGATGATGATAAAGATTAAGATGAAGATGAATATGATGCTGCTGATGATGATGCTGATGATGATGATGATGATGATGATGATGATGATGATGATGATGATGATGATGATGATGATGATGATGATGATGATGATGATGATGATGATGATGATGCTGATGCTGATGCTGATGCTGATGCTGATGATGATGATGATGATGATGATGATGATGATGATGATGATGATGATGATGATGATGATGATGATGATGATGATGATGATGATGATGGGGAGGAGGGGGAGGAGGATGAGGAGGAGGAGGAGGAGGAGGAGGATGGTCGTGGTGGTGGTGACGATGAGGACTAGAGCAAACCCAGCACCCGTGCTGCGCTAGATTCCGTCCGAGGCCCCCCTGTCATAAGCCAGCGTCAATCTATTGCGGCGAGCATCCGCTGGAAGTGTGAATGCCCCACGAGCCTGCGCTGCGACATCCCGTGCAGATCGACGCGTGTATGAACTATTTGTCTCAGGATCGACCGCAGGACGTGACAAGGCGCACCAGGTTTGATAGAAAACGGTTCCATCCGCGCACTTGGTTCAAGTTTTTGGAAACATGTGCGCGGAGAGGGGGACCGATTTTGAAACTGAGCCGCGCTCCATCCATGCAACTGCGGAGCATTGCAAGCTGTATGGTCAGGCAGTTTGAACAGTCGCTCGTCGTCTTTGTCCCTGTTGGGAACTTTCAAGCTTCAGCATCACAATGTAATAATCTTTTACGGGGTAGCTCGATTTTTAAAATTTGATGCCCTTCGCCCGCGTAACCAGCCAGTTTTCGGGAGCATGGAGCGGACGGGTGTCGCCGGCGAGAGGCATCGACATTACAGAGGACTTGCCTTCTATCTGTGATACTTCTGGACGTTGCAAGTTGTATGATCACTTGAGCTTTGGCGGGCGAGACTGAAGTGGCGCCGTGTGTCCCCCTGCTAGGAGGCCGATTTCGGTTTCGGCCTCGGGTGCGTGCCGTGCCACGCGTGCGAGCGAGGCGAGGCCGTGCGAGGGCGAAATAGGCCTGGCCCTTGGCAAGGCACATCTCCTGTCGGATTGCTCCCCCACCCGTGCCCGCCGTGGGCTTTCCCCATGCTGTCCCGCCGTTCTCGTGGTTGTCCCGCGGCTGTCCCGTGGTGATCCTGCGGTTGTCCCGCGGTTGTGTTGCGGCTATCTCGTGGTGCGGTAGACCGTGAGATCTTCACAGAAGAGCTGCGAGAGGCTTATTGCGACACCATAGGCCACCCTTGTTGAGGTTTGTGTGTAGGGTTTAGGGTTTAGGGTTTAGTGTTTAGGGCTTAGGGTTTAGGGTCCATTAGCTCAACTCGAAGCCTTCTGGATGTATCCCGCCCGCCCATGAATCTAGACATACCGAGCTCAATTCATCGAGGGGTCGATGCTCAATCATACGATGAGGATGACGGCGACGCGCGCCAGCACGCGCCACGGCGCGTACGTGCCAACGCGGGCGGAATGGATCCGAACGGGAAACGCGCGCGCAAAGCTTTTATGAGTCTTCTGAGTCTCATGAGTCCTCAGAGTCGCGCGTGCGATGTGAGTTTAGGAGTTACTTGCCATGCGGGAGGGGCCCGATCCGTGCGCGGGCACGCATGGAGGGGGGGGGGTAGGAATTAGCCGCCATTCGGGAGGAGACACGATCCGTGTGCGGGCACGCATGTAATGCGGGTTTAGGAATTAGCCGCCATGCAGGAAGGGCAGAGTCCGCGCGCCTGCACGCGTGGAATTAGGGTTTGAAAATTAGCCGCCATGCGGGAAGGACACGACCTATGTGCGGGCACGCATGGAATGCGAGTTGCGAGTTTAGGGATTGGCTGCCATGCGGGAGGGGGGCAGAATTCGCGTGCCTGCGCGCATGGAATGGGGGTTTTGGAATGAGCCGCCATGCGGAGGGGGGGGCAGACTCCGCGTGTCTGCACGCATGCGATGGGGGTATATGGGTTAACCGCCATGCGGGAAAGTGGGCAGAATCCGCGTGCCTGCGCGCATGGGGTGGGGGGGCAGTAACGAACTGCCAAGCGGGCGGGGCATCCTCCGTGTGCTTGCACGCATGCGGCGGAGGTTTAGGAATTAGCCGCCATGCCGGGAGGGCAGAATTCGTGTGCCTTCACGCGTGCGGGTGAGGTTTAAGAATTCGCAACCACGCGGGAGGGGCACGATCCGTGCGCGGACGCGCATGGTAAGGGGGGAAGGGTAGTAGGCGCCATGCGGGAAGGGACACGATCCGCGTGCGGGCACGCATGCAATTAGGGTTTGGAAAATAGCCGCCATGCGGGAAGGAAACGATCCATGTGCGGGCACGCACGGAATGCGAGTTTAGGAATTAACCGCCATGCGGGAGGAGCACCATCCGTGTGCGGGCACGCATGGAATGAGGGTTTAGGAATTAGCCGCAATGCGAGATCCGTGTGCGGGCACGCATGGAATGAGGGTTGGAAAATTAGCCGCCGTGCGGGAGGGGCACCACAGTTCGTGTGCGGGCACGCATGAAATGAGGGTTTACATATTCGCCGCCATGCGGGAGGAGCATCATCCGCGTGCGGGCACACATGGGATGAGGGTTTCGGCCGCCATGCTGGAGGGGCACCACCCGTGTGCGGGCACGCGCGGAATGAGCGTTCAGGAATTAGTCGCCATGCGGGAAGGGCACGGTCCGTGTGCGGGCACGCTTGGAATGAAGGTTTAGGAATTCGCCGCGCATAAGGGGCGCTTCAAGCGGTTCAAGGGTTTTTAGGATTAAGATGTGTATAGGCTCTCAGTTCTTAGGGTTTAGGGTCAGGTCTGTGTGCATGTACGCGAAGGTATTGCCAGCTCGACGCGAGGCCGATCCCAAACCGAAAGCTGCACCCACTCTCAAGCCTTCTTATCACTCACATGGTGACGTGATGAAGCAACTACGATACCACGCATGATGTGTAACATTCAGAGGCGGACAGTGCAAACGGCGGGTCGACGATGTACACGAGTTCCTGCTTCCTCCTCTTTCGCGTCTTCGTCCTCGTACCCATCACCTGCTTCGGCCTGGTCCGTGCCCTGCCCCCTCTTCCCCTCCTTTCTTCGCGCCCTGGGCGCCAGGAGGCGATGGACGTGATGCCGTTCGTACCCCAGGTGTGGGACGGGAAGGGGAGGACCAGGAGGAGGAGAAGGAGGAGGATGAAGAGGAGGAGGAGGAGGAGGAGGACGAGGACGAGGACGAGGAGGAGGAGGATGAGGACGAGCACGAGGAGGAAGAGGAGGAGGAGGGGGAGAAGGAGCCTGCTTCTCCACCCCCTCCCCTTCTTCCTTCTCAATCTGATGTGTTTGACTGTTTTGAGGCCTCTGGACGCTTCCGGGGAGATCCGCTGAGGTTTCCGGGGGCGCCCGTATTACCTGTGGAGGCCTCCTCTTCCTCCTCTTCTTTCTCCTCCATCCTTTCCCATTGTAATAATCATTCCCTGTCGCACCCCGGGAGGTGTCGGCAGGGCGGGCTGGGCGTTTCGCCTGAGACGTCTTCACC